AGTTTCCACATGATCACCTGACCGTCTTCTCCACCCGTCACCACGGTACAACCATCACTTGATACATCGATGCATCGAATAGCTCCTGTTATAAAGAAGGTGAGATTCAGCCACTGGGCAAGACCGGGTACGGTCTGTTCCCATTTTAGTAACTAAGAAACTCTGCTTTTAAGTCTAATAGGATCAGGGCGCAAAAAAGAGAGGGGCTTGGTGCGAGAAGGTGAACGAACTCTTGTCTTCCCGCAGCACGCTTTGCCCTTATTTTTTCGCTCGCCGTTTTACGCGGGTCTGTGTAAAGTCTTACCTTCGTGAGCCGTAATTCTGCAAACCTCCTGCACATTAATCAGATCCCAGATCTGTAAGTAGCCTGATTCACCGCCTGCAAGTACCATCTGACCATCCCATACAGCACACCTGCCAAATGAAATGATTAATTACTGTAACAGGGCATTATCCAAGACAATCCACTTGTCCTTGAGGGTTTCATTAGGCCTTATTCGAGGCCGAGAATGAATGAAATACGCTGTACTCTTTTTAAAAAAGTATATTTTTAAAGTATATTTTTAAAAACCCGACACAGAATAGCTGTTTCTGATCTCTGATGGAAGCGAGTTCCACGGTTTTCGACAGAAAATCTCCTTTTACGCCCATTTTCTGATTTAAAGACTTACGAGGAAAAGAAATCGCGTACTTTCGAGGGTGCCACATTGTGAAGTGCTTTGTAGTAAAATTTGAAAAATGATAAGCATTACAATTAACAGGAAGTTTTCACACTTTACTACAAAGCACTTCACAATTTGAACACCCTTGTACGTACAGGAAGCCAGTGAAGAGTTAGACAAAATCGGCGTAATGTTCTCATATTTCCTTGAGAAGGTGATAACAACATATCTTTCTGACTCCATGTTCACGTGAGTGCGCTCTTTTGCGTTTGGACAACCTTGATTCACAGTTGATACGAATAAAAAAATTCTCATAGTGCTTGCACGAAATCTCTGTCAGAGAGATTACACGGCAGAGTTTACACGGCACGGCAGAGATTACACGGCAGAGTTCACACGTGTTTAACACACCTAATTTCCTCGCCGACGTCTTTAGAATACACTTCTGTTCCTGTATGAACATCCAGCACTCTCATGAAGTGGTCAGCACCACAGGAGAGAATCCGCTGTCCATCTGAAAGGTCAGCATTAAACCATTAATTTTTTTAGATGATAAACAGCTCAATAGTCAATTTCGATATATTAAAAATTGTAACATAGCTCGAGGCTTAGGGGAATAAATCAAAAGAACTTCATTATTCAATTCTCATCCTCGATGTGATTTCTTTTGTTTTGTTCCCCTAAGCCTCGGAGCCAAGTTAGAATTTTAATATATCGAAATTGACCTAATATTCAAATAAATATAATCAACCAGGGGAAAATGCAAGATTTTCGGACTCTGGCTCTTTAATTAAAGGTTAAGAAACATCTAACGACTGAACTGTATTAGAGATCTCACATTGGAACTGAGATACTTATGTCTGACTTACCTGGACTGAAAAGAACGGCATTCACCGTCTCTTTATGAACTGAAAAGAACAAAAAATTATTGTCAAAGAAATCACTCGAGCTCTAGTCCTCAAAGTGAAGTCACTTAGAAATAACTGGCTCGTTGTAAAGTTTGAAATGTGTTGCGCTAGGTGAAAGACGTCATAACATTATAAAGCAATGTAATTCTTTGATTGTTCTTGAGGTCGGCACACAATAGGATACATGTTGTGGGGAGATAAAGCGGGATATGTTGCAGCGACAGTTTTCCTCGTGTGACATGCCCGTTTATGCGAAAAAGTTCTTGCATAAAATTCAGTTGGTTTGAATTCGTCCGTCATGAAGAAGGGACAAAAATGATCCCAGTTTTCAATGTCGCATCGTGTGCACTGCTCTTGCAAACTGTCCCCGCTACAACATAGAAATGAACTAATATCAGCGCTGTGTGTACCAGCTTACGTACTGTCCAGACGTCCTATGCGTACACATGAAGGAGCTTCACGTCCCCGCCACATGTACCCTAGCGTATAAGGTAAAGTAAATATAAAGTCTGCATACGAGCCAAGACCGGAACTTATCCCGGTTATACCGTGGCATGAAGCGACTAGGAGTATTTCTTGTCCCCTAGTGTGTGGCGACCTTTAATGCCACTGTTTAGACGAGTTGAATGTAAGCGAGGTCAGGCTTTCACTTACTTGGGTGATGACTGATTGCTGTTTGTTGATCGATGTTCCAAAGCATCACAGTTCCTGAGTAGAACAAAAAAATACACCATCAAAACACGTTAAAAAACTGTTCAAGAAGGACGGCCGCGTGAAAAGCCCAAAAAGGGTGCTACGGAGAAAATGGGCAAGATGGCAAATGTTAGCAAAACAGAGTTACAGAACGTTCAGGATGCTGGCTAACTGATATTAAAATATTTATTTCTGTGTTCAGTTAGCCAGCATCCTGAACGTTCTGTAACTCTGTTTTAAAAATGCTTTTGATATTATCACCAGTTGTACAGACACTTACCATCCATAGTCCCTGTCACCACTAGCGTGTTTGTAGGATCGAGGTCTACAGAATTCACCTGGAAATACAATCACAGATGAAACATGAATACAAGAGAATAAGGCAATACACTAAAAATTTACATGTACGGTACTTTACCTCAGTGTCATGCTCGAGCTCAGCCTGGAAAGAAAAGACAACAAAAACAAATTGTAAACAAGATGCAAAGTGAGAATAGATCAACAACTGAGCCACTCACATGATTTTAATTCACGTTGGACACATTTTCAAAATTGCCTATTTAGCAGCCTTTTCCCATCGCCCTCACTTTTTTGTGGGAGTGGGGTGGGGGGTTGGGGGGGGNCCGGAAATTCCGGAAAATACTGTTCCATTGGAAATTTTCGGAAATTCGAACAAGAATTTTTTATGGAATGGAAAGTGCCCCTAAGCTAACAAAACTCCCCTATCCGTGGAGAAGGTAATCACACTCCACATGTCAAATCACGATGAATTAATTTTTTGTGTACCTGAGTTGGTTCCTAAATTTTTTCGCGTGTGTTAACGCTTCCACACCTTCTTGCCTCAAGTCCTGATTAGCTTGCAAGAATTTTTACCGTCAAGTAATTGTTTCTCTGTGACATTGTTTAAAATTCGTACCGGTCGTTAGATTCTAACCGCGTTGTTATATGTACTGTGGAAGGTCTCGTACCTTGTGAAACAGAAAAGACGTTCTTGCAATCCTTTGATAGTCTCACTGATGTTACAGTGCTGTGAAGAGATCACAAAAAGCGCAAGAACAACAGATTTAAGTGTAAACGTTGCTCTTAAGAGACCATAAAAGCACAGCAATAAATGTTAAAACAACACAGCTTAGGAAATTACACGGTAATTAACTAGATTATCGCGGGATTACTGAGGTTTTCAAGAAACCGCCCTCCCCGTCCCGTGGCAAAAGAGTGACGCTAAGAAAAGGAACCGTCACTCTTCAGTAAAAGGTCTAAAGAAAAGAGAATTAAAGCCGCCGAAGAAATAGAAACTGACCGATTGTAACACGCAAAGGAAAGACTCCATATAGAAGAATACCATGCAGTAACTGTTCTATCCAAAAGGAGGTTTGTTACAAGAGTAGACATGTTAACAAAGGATATGAGAATGTTGGGGTGTTTTAAAGAATGCAAGGTTTGGCCGTGGCTTGTTAAGTTAAGATAAGCTCGAAATTTAAAGGACTGTCCATGAAAACAAACCAATTTAAAGACCAAAGTTATTCTTTAACTGTTTAAAAATCCTCCAAAATGCGACTATAACTGCAAGTATTTTAAGTGGTAGTTGGTTCATGTAGAGTTCGAAGGTTTTAACACTAGTTTTTCAAAAGAACATTTTAGGATGAATTAAAGTCTGTTTAAATTCATAATTTACATGTAACATTAACAACACTGAGTCTGACGGAATGTGTTTTAGTTCATGCATTACTTGATTGTACGTAATTTCTTGAATGTAGTTACCTTCTGTGCTGCGTGAGTTGACTGTTGGTTATATTGACATTCACAGAACAAGACGAAGCATCCCTACACATGACACATGAGGTTAACATACATACAGTGTCCGTGATTCACGTCACCACAACAATCGGGGGAATAATTATTGCTGAGCCCGCGATTTTCGTCAGACGTTGCCAAGCAACATAACCCATAATGCATCATGCTGACGTTTGGGGCACTCACGAGTGCGCGGTCTTTCTTTCTTTATTTATTCATTTAGTTTCGTTTATAGCAATCAAAAGACAAGATTTAATAAAACGGCACTTGATCCCCCCGGAAAAGCATCGAAAATATATTTTACGCTTTGTCTCACTTTAAACTCATTTAATGTTTTTAATGACTGTGTTTTTGCTTTTCACTGCCTTAATCATATAAGTTTATTTCAATAGCAATCGTATTTTTGAGATCGATCAACATTTGATATAGAGTTAAAATCAAAACGTTTAGAAACTATGAACGGAGGTTACGCGCGACAATTCAAGGCAAATGTTTACAAATAAAAAAATATAGAAAAGTACTAGTGTTAAGGTTGCGGAGATTATTCGTTTTTTAACGGTTGCCTACATTCACAATTTGAAGTTGACATGATTTTATGCCAAAGCAAGAGGGAAAACGCTCATAGGAGAGAAACAAAGATATCATGCAGTTATACAGTTCATAAAAATCTTCCCAAAGCCTGAAGTAAAGCTCGTAAAATTAGAGCTAAGATTTAATGCTGCATGCACATAAGATGAAAGAAAAGGGTTGCCAAGAATGTTTAAATGGCAGATTTACAAGGAAGCAGGTCATAAGAATAAAGATTCGGAAGGACCAGATCAACTAAGGAAAGACGTGTTGGCCCAGAATGAAATTCTCCAAAAGAGAGGACAGAAAATGTATAGAAACCAGAAGGGAGAGTTTAGATTTTGTAGTACACTACGATCATCAGTTGAGTAAGACGCGACGGAAGTTTGGTAACCAGGTTTTAACATTTAAATCGTGTTGTTGTCACGGGAAACTGACTTCGTTTCCAGAGGCAACTTGTTGGTCTTTGACGTCATTGGCAGCAAAGCGCGCAAAATTGCAGGCGACGATATTGTTACCATTGGAAAGGAAGAAAGTTGCCCGAGGTAACACCGTAGTTTTCGGGGCAAACCTTCGTCACCAAAACTCCGTCGCGCCTTACTCATCTGATAATCGTAGTACCTTGTATTAATCACGCAATCTTTCGACGAATGCGTGACGAACAGAAAGAGCGTTAGCCTATCCAGAGTTTTCGGAATTCATAATTTCCTCCCGACATCTCACAAAAATTAAGGACCATACAGACAATCATCGGGTTCACTTCCACGCATGCAAGAGAAATCTAAATGTTAATTAACATTTCATATTTGTCTAAGGGAGTTACAAAACTAGTCTTACTCTTTGTGCAGTTTGTGACACGTGGTCTGTTGTAGTTTGTCCATGTTGGTCCACTGTGAATGGTTTTGGCTGAACACTTCATCAAAATCAACTGAAATATCAAGCGGATTTATTTGGTTTTCTCTCACTCTCAAATACCATTCAAGGAACTTCATTTACAGTGAACTCTCTCTAGACGCTGGTTTTCACTGACAAAGGAGTCGTGATCGGAGTCAGATGAGAAGCGTAGAGAGATATGATATATTCTAGTGAAAATCAGACCGACAAAGTCGGAAGCAGAATATCGATTCTGCTTATGACTCCGTCGCTTATGACCTAGTGAAAACTACATTGTCGGAGTCGCAAGCAGAACACCGATTCCACTCAAGACTCCGCCGCTTATGATCTAGTGAAAACCAGATAGCCGGAGTCGAAAACAGAAGCCGAAGCCACTTTTGCTTTTGGCTCCGACAATCTAGTTTCCACTGGATCATAAGCGACGGAGTCTTAAGCGGAATCGGAAGAAAATAGAAACGTTCTATCTCTTCCGACTCCGATTCAGTCGAGCTTATGACTCCGCTTATGACTCCGATTTTCCATTTTCACTAGGTCGTTCAAGTGTTCTTACGACTCCGACCATAAACCAGCGTTAAGACGGACATTCACGTTCATTTAAAAGACAACCAAGTGAAATTCAGCCAGCTGTAAATCCGCATTACATACCAGTTATTCAACGCTTTCGAGTGGTATACCATGAAATATCCCACGAGTCAATTCTTATTTTCTCGGTACATACAATAGCCTTTATGCGAGTGTGCACACCAAGAAAATACAAGCGACAAGTGGAATATTGAAGCCGCGCACAAGGAGGTCGCGAAAGTAACTAGGAAAAAGATCTTTACCAATACATGCAAACTACGGTTAACTGAAAGTTAAGTAAACCTTTTGGGTTTTCATCCTTACAGTCATCAGAGACATCTGATCAATGATTCGTGGTGTTAACCTACCATTAACTTTGATGACTGGTACATTGCTTGCACTCTGCGTGTCTGGTTCAGTGGGACTCTCTCCATTCAGTACACTGCTGCTGATGGGTGTGGGGTTGTTGCTGGAGTTAGGGCTCGCTCCAGTTACCTTTCGATAAACAACATGTGAACCCATTCAATCTAAGGCTCAAAATAAAGATTCTCCAAGCTGATATCTCCTTTTCTCTTGAAACTTGGTGCTGAGAATTTGATGAGCCAATAGAACAGTGTCTCATAAATTATGATTTTTTTTTTTTACTTTCATGTCTTCTCGACAGATATTTTCGTAACAATAAGGCCCCGAACACAACGCCGGAGGAATTTGAAAACGGAGCTTTATTCCTACGGTTAGGCCTACCGTCAACACTAATCCGTCACGAAAACAAGGCGGAGCTTTTCGAAAACGCTCATTAAACCGGAGGAATTTGAGAACGCCGGCTTTTCGTTTTCGTGTGGAGTTCAAACATTTTGAAAACGGAGCTTTTCCAAAACGATGACGTCACGATAATCATGTGATTTCCCTGCCCGAGTTTTCCTCAAACACAAATCCAAAATGACCGCTGATTGTTGCGTTTTCAAATTTCACCGACGTAGTGTGGACGGAAAAAATTTGATGCGTTTTCAGAGTGAAACCTCCGTTTTCAAATCCCTCCGGCGTAGTGAGGACGGGGTCTAAGTTTATTGCCGTAATTTTATTCTATTGTATTATTATTTATCACACTTTATTTTAGAATTTTTAGCGCCTTCTTCAGTCATNGCTTTGCATTTTAGTGTGGACGGACAACATTTTGAAAACGGAGCTTTTCGAAAACGATGACGTCACGATAATCACGTGATTTCCCTGACCGAGGTTTCCTCAAACACAAATCCAAAATGAGCGGTGATTGCTGCGTTTTCAAATTTCACCGGCGTAGTGTGGAGGGAAAACATTTGATACGCTTTCAGAGTGAAACATCCGTTTTCAAATCCCTCCGGCGTAGTGCGGACGGGGTCTAAGTTTATTTCTGTAATTTTATTCTATTGTATTATTATTTATCACACTTTATTTTAGAATTTTTAGCGCCTTCTTCAGTCATCAGTTCACCCGTTGAAGACTGCAGTTTACGCGGTCAAAAGTTCGTGTTTTAAAATGGTTTTCAGTAAGCCAGAGACCGTTTTAAAATTTTATTAAAATGTCAAATTGCGGTAACAATAATGATTTAAAAATAAATAGCAGTTTTCTTTACCAGTTTCTGTGGATGAGGGTTTGTAAACAGCTGTTTAGGAGTTTGTCCAAATTCCAGGATCTGCGCTTCTAAAGAAGCTCGCTCATTTGGGTCCTCAATCCTGGCACATGGAAGAAAACAGAAGTTTGTTCAACAATAAACTCGCTAACAAACCAGCAAACATCAATTTATTACAACCTTACCTGTCAAGGTCCACAGCCCCTTCGTATGTTAGGTAGTAGAACACTGAAATGACAGAAAAAAATAGTGTTGCTCTCAAACTTAGCAAGAAAAAAAGCATTATTTCACGTTGTTGTTTTGCAGAGGACGGCAACGAAATGTACCAGGAATTATAACGCACGAGACAGCCATTTTATTACTCGAAAAAAAACTTTTGTCAAGCAACGTTTCTGTTACCGTTGTGGTCGTGTTTTATGAGATTAACCGTTTCTGGTTGGTTCGGTTTGTTTTCGTGCTCTATTGGGGAAAAACCGTTTTCGGTTGGTTTGGTTGATCAACTTTTTCAACCGGCCTCAAACCAGGTTGAGACGGTTGATAAAGCATTTGCGTGCATGATTATGTCGCGTGATTGTAGCTCGCGTAACGACTATTTCCAGGAGTTACCGCATTTCAACCGAAAATGGTTAGAAAAGTGTTCCACTGAGAAAAGGCAACCGTGTCAACCCAAACCGGTTACGTTTAAAACGGTTGATCCCAATAGAATACGACCTTAAACGCCCTATTATGATGCTACAGTGGCGCTTACCGTTGTCTGCTTGCCATGCTTCGTGTCCTCTTTGTTTATATCCAAATATCAAGTCTATCCAGTGATGTAGTCTCTCCGAGACAAAAGGACACTCAAGAGCTTCACGGTTCTTCTGAATGAAATCCCCTGGATCTAATTCATAAGAAAAACAAGTACATCAGATCTAAAACGTAAGTACTGTTACACCATTCCACAAAATAGCGAAACCAGATTTTCTTTTTTGTTTCTCTAGTTTATTTCTCAGTCTCTGGGCAAAAACGGACGTGGTGAATGTAACGCATCACGTGTAACGTTTTCCCGTACCATAAGACAGTATAAAGAATGTTTGGTACGATGTAAAAAATCCTGATCACGCTTTTTTGACAAAAAAAAATCTTAGTCTTAGGCCTTAGCGAAATTGGGAAAAATCGGGTGTCGCGGTCTAACGGGAAGAGTAGAAGCTTAAATAAGGGGAGAAATATCAGTCTTAATCAAACGCTTTAATAACCCTCTCAATTCCAAACTTAGATCATTCAATTCTTCTTCGACATTGCCGTACACTTTTTTGACTCTAGCGGTTATGACAATATGGTGGCACATGAAGATAATTCATTTATCCCGCCGCGCGCGAGAGAAAACCTCTGGTACCTTGGGTATGTGAAAATTTAGTGTATTTTTTTTTCAAAGCGATATTTCTATGTTGGTCGTCCTTCGTTCTACCTGTTGCCCAGCAAGGAAGCTCAACATCCATGACTTTAGTCTTGTCCTGTTTGCAGCCCAATGGCAGGCTTTGACTGTTTAAAAGAAATTCACCAGAGGACTGGAAGAACTCTGGAATGAGCTGTTGAAAATAAGAAAAAACATTCCTAAGAGAGATACTTCACAAATTATAGAAGTTTCAACCTTCCACAACCAAGGTCGGCTTAACAATGGACTGCAAATTACAGTGATATATGCGAAACCGTGGGTGTTTTCCATTACGGCAAAGATTCCGGAAATTTCGGTCGGGATTCAAATGGATAAGTCCGTTTCGGTTTCTTCCGACTGGAATATTCGGGATCACCTCTGGAGGTGGTCCACTTATTTCGGTCGGAATATTCCGATCGAAATTCGCCGTTCCACTTTTGACAAACTGGTCTGGTTCTTTGCCCTAATTAGGGGATCAGGAAAGGTATTAAATATGGCAAAAGACATTCCTATTGGTTGGCCCGGTTTGATCAGAAAATGTCGTTCTATTTTGTTCGGGTATTCCCACTGATCTCTGACCGGTCGGTTTGGCATAATGGAAAGCACCCCGTGACTCTTGCTCCTTTTGTGGGTTTCCAGGAAGTCTCAGCCAATCAAATTGCCCGGCAGTTAAACTACACTTGCATTTTATAGGCTTGAAAAGACTTGAGAGGCTGATCTTTTTGTTGGTTTTCCAAACTTCTCAGCCAATCAAGAGTCAACAACTGCACGTACATTTCAAAGGTTAGCGCGTGTGTTTCGCTGCAACAGCCGACTGATCTTACATTTGCCAGCACTCAAAACAACTGAAAATTTACATTAATCGCAATTATGCTCAACATCAAAATCTCTTACTTTAGAGCACATTTTAACCTGTTCCAAAATCTGTGAAGGTAACTAATAACCCTCTTTTCTCTCCTCCAAAACAGAAAGATCTGTACAAACCTCCTTGACATCCGCATGTCCTGTCAAGACATTCTCCCAGGTTTCACCAATACTATAAAGAAAACAAACAAGCAAACAATACACAATGAGTAAGAACATGTTCCCAAAACCCACTGGTAGGATTACTTGAAAGCAGTGCGGGTTACAAAAATAGAACGTTGGTCAGAAGAGGCCTTCGATTTTTTCGGTCTGTTGGTGGCATGTGACTATGGACAACTTGGTTTTACTCGTTCCCAAGCAATAGATGATACCACAGCAATAATAAGAAATACCAATGAAAAAAAGACCAAATCTAATTTTCTAAACAACAAACAGAATCACCACCACCGTATATTCAGAGTACAATTATGGTTTTCCTATTTGTAGACGAAATTCAACAGCGTGAACGGGATTTCTTCACCATAAATGCGCAGCTGATCGGCAAACCTTGGGCAATTCGTATTTGTTTCTTGCACGCGTAATATTTATGCACCTGTTAAATAATCTATCCGGTTGATCAAACTTTCCTCCCTGTAAGCACAGCATAAACTCTGGAGCTACAAAGAGAGACAAAGCAAAGTTCAACGGCAAATATAGTGACAAATATCTGATTGAAGTATAGTGGAGTAACAAATAATCTCAAGTGTGTACGGAGTAAGGAATTGAAACGAAACTTGTATGCTTTGCAATAAGTGGCAATAAAGCTGTGAAAACATGACACAAATATCCAGGAAGACACACTATGTAGGAAGCCCAGCTTTAAAACGTTCCACCATGGTTACGAGAACTCCACCACTTAAAAACGCGGAGTAATGAAACATGATCAAATAATTTTGGAAATGTAAAGGTAATCACAAATAACTTTGGAAATGTAAGTGTAATCACACACTTCATCACTGCACACAAGAGGGTTAATTTAATTTAAAAAAAGTAAAATCTCACAAAAGCAACATCTTTACTTCAAAAAATTAAGCAGGCAGGAATTATTTCGTTGGTCTACATTTTCAAAATCTTTTCATCTACAACTCACAGAAATTCTTACCGACTCTAACAAGATAGTACAACACATATCCAGGCGTTGAATAATGAGAACCATACAAGAACTTTGGATCAGGCATCTCTTTACATCTCTCCTGCAAATACATGAAATTTACAAATCAACAAATTCTATTTTTTAAAAAGACCGTAAGAAACTGATAGTAAATACATGGTTAAATATGCTTCATACCTTCAACTGGGCTAATCTCGATTCATTTAGGGCTCCTATAGGTTTTGACAAATTGCGGAATGTTTCTTCTTTGTTTAAATCTGCAAACAAACCAATATTGTACGTTAGATTGCGCGCTGTCTATGACATTGTGTACATGTAGGCTGTTAAAGAGAGCTATCTTTCAAAATTATAGTAAGAGTATTAAGGAAGTACAGAGACCCTCTATTTTGTTTTGCGTTCGTCCAGATTAACCGCGGGGATATGAGGGAGCAAAAAGTAAGAGGATGGGATTGGGGAAAGACAGAATTGTTTCCTCCCACTTTGCTCTCGCGCGCTCAACGAAAAACGACATGCAGGGGAAAAAACGTCTGGCAACAAACTGGCAAACTCGATAAGGCCATAAAGCCCGTTGTACAACGTGCTGTTTCCAGAATTCTTGAAGAATCTTTTTCTGCAACCAAACATTTTATTTAAATCAAAGAAAGCTAAGAAGACTGACAAATTATTGAACATCTTGGCGAGTCATCAAGCTCTTGCACAGCAGATTAACCTTGAAGAACTGATGATCAACCATCGGCCTCTTTATGAAGTGTCTGTGGTAGATTCTCGTGTATTAGTGACGGAACTTACCAAGCTCGGTAGTTTTGTAATCCGCTAGTACCCAGGGAAACACGGGATACTGTGTGAGGTCATTAAAACTTCTATCTGCTAAACTGAAAGGAAACCAGACATAGTTACTTAGCAACAAGGCAAGAGTATTCACAATAGGGGGTCGCTTAGCGGAGTCAATCACGAATTGTGGTCTCACTTAGAGTGCTCAGGACGAAACGCCACTATTTTAATCCGTCACTTAAGAACGCTGTCTGTCTGCTTTAAAGAGGTATCTTTGACGGGTCAAATAAAGCTTGAACCACGTAAAATTGAAAACTACAGTATTATTCAAAGTTAAATTGATATATTTTACTAACCTATTTAGGTACATTAGATATTCAAAATTTGAAATAGCTCCATTCTGCCATCTTAATGTCATGTTCTCTTGTCTGGTATCTTCTAGTTCAACCTCTACAAAAACAAAAATAATTATGTGCATTTAGTATAAACACAATCACTGCCAAAGGTCCTTTCAGTTAATAATCACAAGCTTGGGTTGGAAAGAAAATCTGGTGTGAAATCTATAAATACAACAACAAACTAGTTTTAAAATAAAGTATTTCAGTAAATAATATCAATAGTGAGTGATTTACTGACCTGGTTGTTGAACAATTTGTTCATAAAATAAATCTCGTTCTTTAGGTGAGTTGAATATAAGATACATATGAGAACCATCAGTCGAAAATACCTCTACACCCTGGAAAATAGAAAGCAATTTTTTTAAATTTATATGAATGCCAATGTCGCCTTGAAATATTGATGGAAAATATTTGTTTTAAAAGAAATGAGAGAAATCTCATGAAGATATTTAACAGTGCTACCAAAAAATTTTAAAAAAAATCAGCTTCACAAAGACAATATTGATCTCAGCTGTCGAGTACAATTATTATTTTTTTTTTGTTTAACTTCTCCAAGAGATTGGGCTATAAAATTTAGCTATGTTTACGGTGAGGATACTCAAAGTGTGAACATTCAACATTTTTCATTAATTTTTTGTGACCACAGAATGAGGGTTCTTCATATCAACAGGAAAATTAAATTTTGTCACACTGTTTATATTATAAACAATATGAAGAGCTTTCATTCATAGCTACCAAAAAAATATACAAAAATGTCAAGTGTACACAGTTCAAATACGTACATATTAAATTATTTGGAAGCTAAATACACAGCATGCAAATTCATAGAAATTTACGGCAAGTGTACCACATGTCTGAGAAGATATCTCCTTTTGACAACCCTGCATATCTTGGATAGTTTGCATTTAACGACTGGACACTAGATAAACAAAAAAAACAAAAAATCAAGAAACGCATATGGATTAAATTTCTGCAGATGAATCAACAACATTACTTAAACCAAGATACAAAAAATGACCTAGAAGAAATTCAGTGTAGTAGAGTAAAGGAAAACATATCTGTTCTAGGTACGCAGCAAATAAGAATATTGGACAAACCATCTGTAAAAATCTCAATTATATAGTACTAGAAGTTTTGGGCCTAGCCCTTCCTTTGTGCTAAGTTTTAAAAGGGACCTGATAAATATCTGATAAATTTCAAATTAAACATAATTTAATGAATTTGTTAAGACAATTAGCCTAATGCTGATCCCACATGTTAATAAAACTTTTAAGAAAACTGTAAATTATATCTATTCAGTGGCCTCCACATTATTATAAGTTATTCCAATCTGTTACTAAACAGGTCCAGTGAAGAAAAATTGAAAGCAATGCATTATTCAAAACATGAAGTGCAAAGTCTGTCTAACTAAACCAAAGAGGCCTTAGACACCAGAGACTCACTGGGTCGGCATTGTTGAAAGGTTGAAAGTAAAGTCTGGAAGAAGTGAGCATGATGCGGCCAGGATTGCACACAAGAGGAGTGATCCGTTTTGCTGCAAAGAGAAAAAAGGCAAATTAGTATTAAAATTGTTGAGCAGATGTCATTGGTTACTCTATTTATAGTGTCATTATCAAAAGTAACTATTGGGGAAAGGGAAGATGGATGGGACAGGAGAGCTCTGCCTCCTTATAGCTACCACCACACCATTCTCAAAGTTGAGGTCCTGAATGTGAATTTGACTGGATCCTGGAAACAGGTTTAGGAGTAAACTGCACTTTCTCTTCTATCGTTTTATTTCAAGTAATTAAAAACTGATTATTAATTACTGCAGCACTGGCACCAAAGAACCGAGATATCCAAGGAAAACCCATTTAGATTGGCTTTTGATGAGCAGCTCTTTCACATTTAAATTGCCTGCAGTAGCTAAAAAAGGATTGTATTCAATCAAATATATACATGTGTAGATGTTGCTCTTAATCATAAAGAAACATACCCATAGTTTCCATTACAATCTTTTCATGTAAATCTTCTAACCTGAGAAATGCATTTCGAGCAGTTATTAATACTAAAATCAAAAGTACTGGTACATTTAATTTAATGACACCATCATCGGAAGTATTACCTATACATACCAAAAAACAATTACTAGACCATTGAAATTTGTATATATATTCTAGAACTGAAAATACTTACTGTTTGTGTGTTTGTGTTAAATTAATCCATGATTTCAAAATATCTTATCAAGTGAAGGTTTACTAAATTTAGATTCTGGATAAAAATGTCTGTTCTTATTGATTGTATGGTTCATATGTTTGCATGAGGATACATAGCAAAAACAGATGATAAAATGTTACTCAATCTACACTTCAAGGAATAGAAAATGGTGGCTCAATACTTGTAAACAGTTTCAAGCAATTATGAAGAGTTGACATAAAGGTACCGAAATTATTTTACATATAGTGTGTTTATACACAGGAAATGAACTGTCAACAAAAATAGAATGTAACTTACCAACTGGTATTAAAGCTAACTCTGGCCTGCCTTGACTGGACAATTGAATTGATCTGAGTGGAGGATTTAGATACATGCACTGTGATTGTCAGTAACATTATTTTCAATTGGCATTTTTTCACTTTTGAAATAACTCAAACTGCTGCACATATATACATGTACTTAGTCTAATTATAAATGTAATGCTTTCAAGTGGTATATACCGTGGGGTATCCTATGAGTCATTTGCATTTCCTCAGTATACATGCGAACCTTTAAGCAAGGGTGTATATCAAGAAAATTAATACAAGTGGTACAAGGGATATTCCATGGTATACCACAAGAAAGTGTTGCAAGACTATTTTTAATTCAATTCCAGAAAATAAATTAAATTAAAAAATTATTTTTTAACACAGTCCACCCACCATAGCTTGCTGATCAGCTGGCATGAGAGTAGATGCTCTGTGAAGCTGTTAGAAACAACACAAAAACAATTACCTGTAAGCAAGCAGTCTCTATATAATTTATTAAATTTATCTCTTTAAGACTGAAAAGCAAATTATTAAATGAATTAAAAATAACATTTTTTTATGAATTGTATGTTCACTTGTTGACTGTTTAAGAGACTGACTGATGATCAAGAAAATGACTGATTGATAAATAAATTTAAACTGACTGATTGACTAATGGATTGATGTACTGATGGATTAATGTATTAATTCACTGATTATTGATTGATTGATTGATTGACTGACTGACTGACTGA